CTTTTGATCACATGACTATTGCTATTACTATTCCTATTATTCCTAGTAGTAGTAGTAGTAGTAGTAGTAGTAGTAGTAGTAGTAGTAGTGGTAGTAGTGGTAGTAGTGGTAGTAGTGGTGGTGGTGGTGGTGGTGGTGGTGCGGCATTTAAATTTACCGAAGCCCAGACCAAGGCCATTCCAGCTGCCCTGGTGTTGGGCCTCATCGCGTTCCTCCCCCGGCAGCAGCATGGAGTTGCTTTGGTCGTAGGCAGGGTCCAGGGATTGCCCTCTGAGCTGCTTACTGCGTTTGAAATGCAAGGCTGCAGCTTGAGATTCATGCATTTTTTCGTTGTTACTACAGTTTTAGGTTTTTCATTGTTCTAATTATTGTTATTACTATTACTATCAGATGCTCCATCCATAAGGTCTGTGGAAGCCCTACCCAGCAGCCTGCTAGGCTTGAACTGCTTCTGGCCTGAGATGTTCGGCTACTTCGGCAAGTACCTGTACTGTGCAAGCCTCAGCTATGCGCAACACATACTAATCCCTAGAGATTGTAAGGGGATTATAAGGCTTTTTTCATGGGGTTATATACGGATACATGACCCAGCCCTAAAACCCTATTTAAAGAAACAAGCTTGTTGGCACCATGAGTTCAGCCTTTGACAAGCTGGTAGCTGAGGCTACCAGTTCGCACCCGAGGGCACCTTAGAAAAGACCTACGACTGCCCCTTTCTAGAAGATGCCTTCCACCATCACGCCGTCCGTTTCATCATGCTCTTTGTGTTGCTGGCGGTATCGCACCTTTGGATCAGCCTCTCGCTTCCCAAGGAGACCGGGAGGGATGCAAAACGATGTGTGTTTCGCTGCAACGATAGCCGCAAGGCATGCAGTGCGTCAAAACCCCACATGCACCAAGGGGGTGCGCTGTCCGTCATCGTCTCATGATGTCTCCAGATTTTCTGAATACAAGCGATCCTGTCTATACGCTAACCGGATCGGAGAACTTGACTCATTCTCAGCGCGCATGGGTTCTATACTGCGGTGATGTATGGGTGTGCTGTTCAAGGTCTTCAGCGTCAAGATCCCTCCTCTGTTGGGTACCATGGAGTCCCACCACAAAGAACATTATAATCAGCGCCCAAAACGAGATCCAATACAGTAGAACTCAGGTCATACAGTAGTCACCGAGATGGCTATTCCAATGCTCATATTGTCCCGACTACGTGGCAATTACCATGAAAAAAGACTCTCCCGCCTCAGCAGGATGACGCGCAACTGCCACTTCACGTGATCTTCCTGAGCAGGGCCTACCGAAAGAGCTGCCGCCTTTGGGAGTCCGAGCGGCTGCTGAGGCCTACAGTGACTCATCTTCGTTCCCCGTATACTCCAGAATACACCTTGCAGGTCCCCATTTTAGGGCTAAATGGTAGTAGTAAGGAAGTCGGTAATTGACCATGCCAAGATGTTGTAAGCAATCTTCGCGGGCCATACTGGCTTGTGATATGTACGATGAGCAGGCACGTGTCCAAGATGCCCTTACTCAAACGGCTGCTGATGCGCTTTACGTATTTTCAGGTCGGCTAAGAGAATCGTGCCTTAGAAATTCAACCGCAGCGCATGGTGGCTGGGCCCCTGCCCCCAAATCTACACGCCATATTGGGAATCGAACGCCTGCACATGAGGCCCAATGATCTTGAACCCACTAACCCGTCAGGAAGACGCTGCTGACGCTGGCAGTGTCCGCTCTGCCCATCACCTCCTCGCCGGCCCTTCAGCTGGCAGCTTCCTCGGTGTTCCCGTTCGGTCATTTAGTGTTGAGTTTCCTTTATGTCTGGGATGAGATCTCTGTGGTCAAAATGGCAAAGGTCTGCATCGTGAGCGTCGTGATGATGTCCCTCTTCCTGTATGCAGCGCTTCTGCTGCTGGGATGTTCCTGGAAGCGTTTGCTGCCTCGATTAGGGTTTATGCCAGCTAATTACATGATTGATTGCTATGCGTGTAAGCACATCCACTTGGCGCTGAGCCTTGAAAGGCCCTACAAGACAATGCGCTTCAACCTGACTGAGTGCAGCTTGCTAGCGACGGCGGCGCTCATGACGGCCGTAGTGAGCGGCCTGCATCTCTGCTGAAGCCGGAGGTCACACATTCATGCCATACCTTAATGAGTTCTCAAGCCCTCAATCTCCGTACCCTTTGGAGCTTTGTTTGTCTGCATGCACTTTGCAGCGCCTGGCTGTCACGCTAAGCAAGACATGTCTTTGTTGGCAGGCTGCTTGTATGTAGCGAAGGACGGCATATGACCATTATTGGGGCCACATGAAGAGGGTGGAGTACCTCATGATCTTCTCCACGGTTGGCATCGCTGCCTTCACCTGTGCCTTGGCCACGAGTCGTTCGGCAGCGGGGCCAACACACCGAACATGACAAGTTTGCTAAGCATCCCGCTTACCATACAGCCTGTAAGAAAGTGAGAGTGGCAAGATACCCTTTGCACACATTCAATGTTGCCAATGGTTTGATGACCTTGTTGTAGAGTTCAGAAGAGATAGCGCTTTCCAAGCATGTCCGCCTTCATTTCGAAATACACTGCTGTTTCCAGGCCTCAAAGTCATCAAGCCGAAACTTCAGTCGAGCGTCAAAAAGCTCTGAAGCCTCAAACTCATGCAAGATTTCTGACCTCTTTTTTGCTTGTTTGTTTTCGGGCCGACTTAAAGATCCCAAGCTCTTGGTTCACTCGCTAGATGTCAGTGTTCTGGCTCTTCAGCGCAGTCCCGCCCAGGTTCACTGATGATTTTCCTCATCTGCAGGGAGCGTCTGACCAAAAAGGGCTCCCCGCACCTGCAGCACTAGAATCCCCAAATTGAATCCACCATGATCCACCAAGGGAGGTTCCTCACCCAGGCTTGGTAGATTGATCTCAAGAGGCGTTATGCGGGGATGAAGGTCCCAAATAACCTTGAAAATGATCCCTAGACCTCGCTACAGTTTCTGAAGAGGTCCCAGATGGGATTGTGATTGCAATTCTGTCTTCAGTCTCCTTATACTCCCCTCCCAATTTCTGCAATCCCATGCAGAAACCGATCCGAAAATGTTTTGAATTGGACCTCAGCTAGCAAGCCCGGTTCTCTTCTTTGAAGGGGTATGCAGGGAAGATGCAGGCACCACAAGGGGCGATACGGGGCACGTCGAAGGGGTTCATATATGGAATATCCCCTAAGCACTTGACCCCAAACCACGAAAGGGTTTCCCAAAATTAGAGGGAACCGTTTTGGGGGATTTACAGGAGTTGCGCCGTGAGTGGCGCGCGCAGCGGACCAATCGAAGCGCACCGCCCGCCAAGGCACCTCAACGGTTTTGTTTTCCTGCGACAGGTCTGTGTGTGGATCTTCCTTGAAGACACGGCTCAAAATTAGCGTCGCTTTCCATGGCCAACTTCGATCCACCAGAAAATATGCTTTGGGACGGATCATTGTGTGTTGTTGTACATTTTTCCAGGCATCTCTACGTGTAGGCCAGTCTAGGCAATGCTTTGCGGAAGGTGTTGCTTGGAACATCTACAAGCCAGGCGAGAATTTGATTGAAGGGCATGTCAAAACTAAAAGTGGAATCGAGAGCCAAAGGTTTAAAGCCAAGCAAGCTCTGACGTGGGAGTTGGGACAAGAGTTTCCAAGTCTGAATTTGCTTCCTGGGGATTAGAGGCGGCCGGAACTCAAAGCTCTCAACTGCTGAGAATAATTGCCTTCAAGAAGGACTTCAGGTTACAACACCCTCTTCTTTGTGCTACTGCAAGCTTGGGGTGGGGCTTTTGCTGAGGCCGAAGATCCGTGGCTTTGGGGAACCTACTTGCAAGACCGACGGCACTGACGTCCAGCGCTTGAGCTTCGACAAGTTTGTGTAGACAACCTCCCTTGCGGCTTACAGAGGATACTCTCGGGACCAGACAGCTGTCACAGTCCTTTCCTGCATTGGGAAACTGACTCCCTCCCTACAGGATTGCTCACCTCATTGGTGTAGGCTTGCTGGGTCGTATTTCAGGTGGCAGCCTTGCCTTGTGTGAGGCAGCTGCCTGGCGATGCCCAGTCAAAGTGTTTCACCAATCCGCAGTCCAACTAGCCGCTAGCCTGTACAGAGAGCCGACCAGACATGCCATAGCAGTGCCGTTGTTTACGACGTCAAAAAGATGCTCAATGCTTGTGTTCAGGCTGCAACACTACTATTTTTTGAGACTGGATTGCCTGCGCAGCTGAAGAGCATCAAGGTCTAGCTCTAGTTCTGGGGTTGAGGTTGGTTTCACCTTACCAGACTCCAGCTGCGTGCCGATGACAACCTCAAGACAAGCGTAGCTAGGCAAGTCTCTGTCCTGCTTGAACCTTGACCTTGTCACGAGGCATACGACCTAAGCTGCTGCCAGCCACAGTGCTGACAAAAGCCTCCAGGCGGAGGCTGGATAGCGGGCAGTCCATTCTTGCCGCAAGCGCCTATTGAACAAAGAACACCTCCTCACGCGGCATTGATACGGGCTGAGTTTTTTTAAAATCTTCCTTCATGGACAAACTTCGTTCCAATCTCTGCAATATAGAGCTGGTTGACTGTCGTCGGCTAATGTCGAGCACATGCGTCAGGAAGCCCGCAGTTCGCTTTTGGGCAACGAATTGTGCGCTGGCTCTATGTGGCGTCCGTTCAGTGGTTCAGGCCTGGATGGGAGCAGGTGGAGGTGGTTTGGGGGGGAGTTTGGTGGTGATGGTGTGCTGGTGGTGGTGGTGGTGGGGGTGGGGAAGGGATGGGAAAAGGCGACAACATTTTTTTTTGTTTAAATGTTGCTTCTAGACAGAAGTACCCAGAACGCACCCAACTGTGACACTCCTAAGCCTCTATGATAGTGGATTGGGCAGATGTAAGAATGTGCTGCAAGAGAGCACATGTGTGGGGCACCGCACCAACGGAACTAGTCTTGATAGTGTACCGATAGCAATAGTGTGATTACAACAGCCTCAACTGTGACTGTCATAGTTCAGCTGGGAATAATCATTTGACAGAGCAGTAGTCCCTGGCAGAAGCTTATGAAGAGATTGGAGGCTCACGATCAGAATTGTTGAGGTCCCACCTCTAGGTAGAAGGTTGAGCCTGTTGGTTTTCGGATTCCTTTGAAGAGTAGGAGTTGAATACAGCAGAATATCCATGGTACTGAAACTGATATCATAATTATAGGCAGCTCAACCAACCATAAACAGGATACCACTGGCAATCAACATGATGAATGCTCAATTTCAAGTTTCGTTCCTGGATCCATGCCGCCAAAGGGTTAAAAGACTGGATATACTGGCTACCTACTCGCAGTGTGTACACCCCTGTCACCAGACCTGTCCGTTTCAGTTGCTGTAACCTGTGCTGTTGCCACGTCTTGGACGCGGAGCTGCGAAAGATTGATTCCATCATGGCTTGAGACCCGCGTGGGTACAGGTCGTACTTGAGCGGTCCAGAAGCAAAGCATTTTTATGGCATGGGGTGATTAGGCGAACTGGGTTTTGATTCGTTGGCAGTGTCACGGGAACCCCAGTAAACTTTTGTCGTGCAGGGGTCACGGAATGAGTCGGTAAGCTGCTTGTGTTTGTAGGCGGGCTAGGTCCCGTAAGAGCAGGGGCTCCAAGCTGCATTCCGTTTTTGGTGCCGCCATGCGAACTGTGCATGTCCTGATGTCCTGAATGGATTCGATTGAGCGTGGGAAGATACGGTAAGAGGAGGACGCGTCAGGTTGTTTGAAGGGTTTCTTCCCTGGCAGCAAATGTGTTTTCCGAAGACATTGCCAGCAGTGCCCGAAATGCTTGATGTGTTTCAGCCAGTGAGTCCATTCCAAGCCCAAGCCTCAGGGCAGAGAAGTAGAGCTAAAGTATTGCATCAGGCTGTGGGGCAACATCTTGCTGAGATGGCCGCGTTTGAGAGGTGGCGCAGCTGCAAGTCTCAGCACGCGTACAATCTGCTGGGCTGAACTCGCATTTGATACTAGAGGGAGAGCTCTCTTTGTCGCTGGACAAGATCTTGCGTGATGGTTTGTCTGCCTCAACGCAATTCTTGGGACGGAGTGCGCATGGCATTATGATGCACAACTCTTATTAAGAACTGCAAAGACAGTGCCGAGCATTTTGACTTTCGGGTTCATAGTCACAGAGTAAGGCGTTGCTTTGTGTTCTGGTGGCGCTTGGGGCTCCGGTAAACGGAGTTCAGAGACCTTCTTGGGATCAGACTTCAGATTTTGAGGGTAAGGGCTTGAGGGTCTGAGGCTGAGTGATTTCAGGTTGTAGGATGTTCGGGTGCAGGGTCCAGGGCTCAGCTTTGGGTTCATGCTCAGAGCCTTTCTACTATGTGCTTTCGTGCCCGGGCCTCCTCCCCTGGAGGCCCCCTTCAAAGCACCTTTAGGCGGTCTTTTTGGAAGCCCGCCTCTAATTAACGGTTTGAGAAGTCACGCGGCATCCTGCTTGCTCGCGTTCTCATCCCTTGGGCAAGGAGATGCTAGGAGCATGTGCATGTTGCGTGGGAGCCTGACAGATAGGATGGACCTTTCGATCCAGATTGAAGAATCGAAAGCTTCAAAAACTGAACCCTGAAGCTCAAACAACTAATTTGCCTAGGCTTGATAATAGCGATTGCGGATCGCAGAGATCATGGGGTATATATGGACTTTACCGGGGCGTATATGCGTGTATCTAGGCCAGCTTAACAACTGCCAGCATTTCGGGGACCACAAGCAGCAGCTGCAGCAGCAGCAGCAGCAGCAGCCGCCCTTAACCCTCGCCCAGGGGCTCTTTGTGATCTTGTCTTGACACTGCAGCAGCCTCAGAGCGTGTTCGAGGCATTGCGCTTTTTGACCGGGTGCCCGTGCTTGCCTCTTGTTGAGGGTTAGGGTCCAGGGATGTCAGGGTTGTGGGCCAGTGCCTTGTGATTTTCAGATTTTGGTCATCTCGATTCTCTGCATCGCATCAGGCGCTCAGAAAGGCTCTGGGCCAGGGATTTTGGCGTGCTCTTTGAGGTATTGTCTTTCTATATGGCCCTTCCTTAGACAAGGTAACTGAAAAGGGTTCGCGTGCCATGCACAGCTAGTTTGGTCAATAGCACCCCCATCTGCCAGATCCATTGCTCTTCTATTCCCCTAGATGAAGCCCTAAACCCTCACACAGTTAGCCCTTGGACCTGCTCCTTTGCCGGAAAAGGGTTTTGTGCTTACTATAACCTTTTCATGTGGGCAGAGAAACAACCACACCAAACGGCGCCTGCTTCAACAGCCCAAAACTTTGCTAAAATCTTACATTCTAAACCCAACCCATTCAACCTCAGACCATATTCGCCCAACCTGGAAGATTTCCTGCATGAGGAGGGCGCCGAGTGGCCTGCGCAGACTGTCAGTTTTTTTGTTGCTGTCCGACTGTGGG